CTACCTTGTGATTGTGAACAAGGGAAGAAGGGTTATGTTATTAGGTAACAGTCTAACTTATACTGCAAACATTAGTAGTTTAGTTGGAGTCCAGCCGTGGATTTACTATTGTGGGCAATGTGGTTCCGATTTTAGGGTGGATGTAGTCTCCCACTACCTTTTTCGTTACAAACACACGAGGAATGCGATGCAGTCGGTAAATTGAAAAAGTTTGCAATTGAACGAAACGATATGTATCGTTGAATTACTTGTTTCACACTGGTAGCCTTGTTGTAGTATAAGTGAAGTCTACAACATTGTCATTTTGTCAACAATCGCTCTACGCTCAGAACTACCGCTCCCTAGGGTCGAGATCTCGATTCACACCGCGTCCGTGGGCAGTGGCGCGAATCCGTAGACGGTGTAATTGCTAATTAGCAATCATAACTCATCAATATAGTAATTAATACGCGGCTGCGCGGCCGCTTATTTAACTAATTGCAACTGATTTTCATAAAAATCGCTATTTTGTAACAGTTTTGTGATAATTGGATCTGTATAGAGCTGCTGATGTTTGTTTAAGATTACGTAGTCTTCAAATTAATTTACTCGATTGGCGTGATTTTGAAGTTGAATGTCCCAATGTATGTAATGCAGTAATTATTAATTTAAAATGTGCCTTCACTGGCTGGCTTTAATGGGCTTGAGCCCAAATATTCAAATGTGTTAGGTATGAAGGTAATTCACAACATCTTAAAATAAATAGGTATCGTGATTTTACTATCTTAATTAGTGGTAATAGTTAGGTAAAGTCCTCATCATTATCATTACCACTGCAATCGGATCACCACCAACTTTTTTCTCCTGAAGCTGAAAATAAAAGAAAAATCGAAAAAAAAAGATCTTTGAGACTATAACTGCTGAATGCTGGTGTAGTTGGAACTCTACTTAAATAGGGTTTTTTATGCATAACAAGGCAGGTGTTTGACCACAATAGCACCTGGTGTTAAGTGAGATGCAGTCTAGGATTAAAACCTAAAAGATATTTCCATTAAATTGGCATAAAATACCTCGTTATACCTCGGAATATCAGCTCCATATGTATCCCGTGACGTAGCGCAGCGTCGCGGCCGATGCGCCGGCGCAGCCGTTACCAGCTCCGGCCAGTTTTTGTGGCGACGGAGCGAGCTCATGAGCTGAGCGAGCTAACAAGCTGGGAGATAAGTCCTTATGAGAGCGATCGCTGCCGCTTGTGACTTGATAATCATTAAATAATATTGAACTGAACCAAAATTGGTTTATACATAAAACTTGGTAGACATTACCAACACATGTTGCTCAAACAGCTATGTAATAGTTTTACATAGCTTTTGTCCAATGGAAATAGATGATTTCTATCAATCAACTGTCAAATTACCTAATGCTAAATAGGTGGACCACCTATTTATTTAGGGAGCTTTTAACGAAAACTCATTTTTCAGTTTGAAAATTTTCCACGTAATAATGCGCATTGCACATTTTATTTTCTTTATTGAACTCAATGGAATTTCCCGAACAGTTATTCCTGCTCCCGCTCCCGTCTTGCACCAATCGTACAACCTAATGGTACAGTTTTTGTTTATTAACATTTAATTAGAAGATAAAGTTGTATTAATACTGTAAGTATACTCTCTTACTATAATGTAATTGTTCGGCGGGTATCTGACCTATTGCATTACAAATGGACTGGGCTAATCGGAAACCATAACTTAATTGGGGGCTTCGAAAACATGACTTATCTTTTTAGGACGCGGTTGGGTAAAAAAAACGTCGTCACACTTGACAGGGCCCACAACTGGGCATACATAGTAATGCTAGCATTCATGTAGCGTCAATGCGTGTTCAAAGATCGTAACTTTTATGATATTACTTGATATTAGTTGTGTGAAGCGCTCTTTGTTTTACCTATTTCAATTCATGAACTTAATTGCTGTATATGAAACAAAACACATTGTAACAATAGTGTTTGCTAGTAGTTTTGCAATATTATCTACCTGTTTATTTGACGCAAAATGCCAAGATGATAGTCTGATCATAATAATCGAGTGCGTATAAATAAGTTACATGTTTTGTTACAGATCTAAAGACGTCTTATCTTCGGACCACAGATCATATTCATTAGGTAAGTAAATGACATAGCTTTTGATAAACTGTAAAAAAAATATGTTAACGCTTCTAAGAGTATGAAAAGTTTTTCTTTGGGTCGGTAGAAAATCTTCTATATCTTCAAAAGTAAATGACCTAGCGTTATAAAACAAAACATAGTAGAAAAACTACGCATTTTCATTTTACTAGGTTACCTAGTATAGGTAGGTACTTTTGAAGATATCGAAGATTTTCGATATCTTCAAAAGTACCTACCTATACTAACTGACCCTTTTTATTTGCGGTCCAGTGTATTAACCCTCGTAGAGCTGGCGCTATTTGTTTACTATAGTCTAGCGAATTACGGTATTTGACAGGTTGAAGTAGTTAAAGTATAGTTTTTCGTGCCATCCATCAATGGATATCAATGAATAGTTTTTTCCAGCATGATTGCCAGCCGTCTGTATCGCACATTGATTTATTTGCTTTCCAATGGGAGCGAGGCATTTTAACGACATTCTCCGAGCCTCTAATGCGCATACGCACAGTTCCCGATCGTTAATACTAGTGATGCTGAACTATCGTTATCGAATATTTTTGCGGTTGATAGTGGCTCGAACTAAATGAGGAATATAATTTGGTATTGGGAGGAGACAAGCTCCAAAAGCACAAATTGAAATTGATTTCCTTCATACTCTAGTAGGTAAGTAATGTAAATAAAAGACGATGGGTAGGTGTAAAAAACTAATGAATCATACGATCACTAACGAAGTTTTTCATTTAATTTAGAATATTTCTTGGGAATACCTGCTTCATAGTACCCTAGCGCAGTAACTAACAAAGCTGTTCCAAGAATGTTATCACAGTTTTTTTCCTCACTTTATCGATATTCATATGTCTGAAGAACATCACTAGATCACGTCAATTGAAGCTATAAAGGTGTTATTTAATGTAAATTATAAGAATGATATAGTGTTAATGATCATAGTTATTGTTTGAAAGAATCCACAATGGTGAATGGTAATCGTCAAGTGAGAAATGAAACGTTTTTTCAATTACCGTTTAAGTGTGAACTATTTGAAAACTACTTTGTTAGTAATGTGGTATTTTGTGTTTTTCATTAACTTTGTTTTATTAACTGCTACTAGCTGGCGCCTATGACACTGTCTGCATACTTTAATTGCCCATTTCATTCAAATGGAATGTACTTATCATCTACCGGTAGATCTACCCCATAAAAATATTCTCTTTATCTTACAAAAGCCATATTAAATACTCTATTTATTTGTTCAAAAAGTTGATTCATCGGTTGATGAATGAAATCATTAAAACACTAGCTGACCCAGCGAAAGATTTTTGAAAGATCGGTCCAGGTAGTATGCAATAATAAAGTACCTATTAAATAGGATACTCATTTGAATATCGTAACTATGTAGGTATGTGGAATGGTACCACTACCGTATGGTCTATTTAGTTAGGTAACACATATTAGCATTAGCAGAAAACATCCTGCCATAGCAAAGCTTAATGAGGCTCATCTGCATAAGATGAAAAAGAAGCAATTTGCTTATTAAGTAATTGCTGCATATTTAGAAAAAAGCAGCCATATTTGGACCTCTGTCGAAAGGTGTCCTCATTCGCGCAGTAGCTCAGCAAAACATCAATTAGTTGAAATGTCTTCATTATAGTTGTATATGCTCATGCTAAAGTAAATCAGCTAGCACACAGCTTTGCAATTAAACAAATATTGGTACAATTTCAAAAGTGTAAGTTGCTGTAGGTATACGGTTTACAAATTTTCAATAATCGTCGTAGGCCACAAGACATTAAACATAAGATGCTGAACATAGGTTTCCCCCAAAGATTTTCAGATTGATTTCAATAATTACTTTTAGTTACACCTTAAAGTAGCTTATTACCATTTTATTACCGTTATTAATTAGTAACACAATATTGGTCCGAAATATTAATCGATTTCCTCAAAAACCGAGTATCTATATATATATATATATATATATAAGAACACCACATCTTTGTAAATGAAAAAAATAGGAAATTACAAAACATAGACTTATGCAAAAGGAGACATAAGAGCGACTCTACATTATTTTTTAAGTGGAGTGAAGTTACCGTTCTGATTAAGCTGCGGCAACACCTTTAAAGTGCGCATCAATTCGTCATTATGGTATTAAAACACGGACAACTTACCCATTTCTGATGTATGTACACTCAGAGTAATTTATACACAGTTGAACTCACCGTACAGTTATACCAGAGCGTTCCGGTGGTTGACTGTACCTCCTACAATTAAGGCGTGCCAAACTCATTTTTTTAATAATCAAACGGTTAGTTGATTGCTAAAATTAATTAATATGTTCAATGGTTACTAATTAAGAAAACTCTTTAAGTCTTTTGACTTAAAGAGTAATTAAAGTATAATTTAACAAAAATTATCATTCACAATTAAGTTTTTCATGCAATTACTTGCCAAACATTTAGGATTGTTTTATTTATTGTAATAATGTAACCTTTTTCATATTTTACAAAAACACGAGCAATTAATAAGAATGTTAACGTGAAATGAGCTTTGAGTAAACAATATGTGAAACAACTTTAAAGCTTTTAATTATGAATTAATTTCAACTTCAAATAACAAATTCTCGCTTTTTAATAAATTATAATGCTAAACATAGCCCTTTCAGCACAGAATAATACGAAAGTGCGTTCGACTTTGAAAAAATCTAGTGAATTGGTAAATCAATTTTACCGCGCCAAGACGCTTCCGATCGATCGTACGGTTCGATTATTTGCTATTTTTCATACAAAAACTTTCAATGGCGTTCATTCGGTGCTGTGTTGAGTGACAAAGATGGACGTGTACCTGACTACGTGTTATGTAGTTGCCTATTAACACCGCTAAGTGCGTGGCTGCGCCTACCATTGACGGCCTGACGTTAAAATAAGCGGTCGGTAAAATAGTCTCTATCTAATGTCGGAGAATATATGTCAGTGCGAATAATTGGAAAAGCGTGTTATTTATTTCTCCTATTCCCAATATACAACAGTGGCGACGAAACCCACAATTTTCAAAGAAAATGGCCAATCTCGGCGTATTAACGATATTCGACCACAATTTGCAACAATCGGATACGTACATAGGACGTATTAAGCAGTTTTTCATCGCAAATGGGGTCGACGACGCTGTCACGGATTCGGAGGGAACGAGGAGACGCGCCATATTATTAAGTGCACTCTGCGATAGCACATACAAGCTAGTACAAGATTTAGCGTTACCTAAAAAGCTAGAAAATGTGCCATATGAAGATATCTTGTCTCTACTGGATGCGCATTTTACGCCAAAGCACATTGGATTCGCCGAGCGTCATAACTTTTATGCAGCGACGCAGCAGTTGGGGGAAAGTTACGCACAGTGGGCCGCCAGGTTGCGAGGCTTAACGGCGCACTGCAAATTCACAAATATCGAAGAGACCTTGCGGGACCGTTTCATAATGGGCATGCTGCCGGGCCAAGAAAAAGAAAAATTATACGGGCAGAACCTGGAGGAGATGACACTGGCGAAGGCGGTGGAGTGGGCTGAAAATCTACGTTGTGCTAAAGTTAGCGCGACAGCCAGCGGTAGCGGCGATGGCGTCGGCCACACAACACCGCTATTCAAACTCCAAAGTGCTAAAAAGAAGTGTGCAGTGTGTGGTTACACAAACCACGCAACAGATAAGTGCCGTTTCGCGAAATATTCGTGTAAGAAGTGCGGTGTAAAGGGACATTTACGTAGAATGTGTGTGAATTACGTCAAAACGGCCAGTAATGAGGGTGAGAGCGAAGGGGATGACGGTAAGTTATTATTTAACATTCGTTCAGTGGGTGGAGAACCTTTGGTGGAAACAGTGGTAATTGGGGGGGTCAGTTTAAAATTTGAAATCGACAGCGGTTCTGCCGTTACAGTTATATCGGAAAAAGTTTACAACTCTCATTTTAAAAATGTGCCACTGTCACCAGCAATGAAGAGGCTAATTACTTACACAGGTGACAATATCGAGTGCATAGGTATGACTCCATTACCCGTAACATATGCCGGGCTCACACACACACTGTCTGTTTATGTAATACGCAATGGTGGCCCTCCACTGTTAGGACGTGATTTCATTTCTCTATTTAACCTCCTGGGGCCTGGCGTCATATATTTATTACATAAAGCAAAAAAATATAAATCAACGCTATCTGTTGAAATTTACCAGAACTTTTACGTTAGTTAGTTAGATGGTGCATCTGTCCATCATTCTTAGCTGTGATTGGCTAGTGAAGTGACATTTATATATTTTTATCTTTAATTGAACTAGCGACGGCGCCGCGACCGGGAACAAGTGGTTAGTAATAATGAAATTTTTACTAAAATATAAACGATTTCTATAAGCCTTTCTTATTATTCGTTTTGGGATTTGAACTGTTTTATTATCTGAGTATCACTGATTGTGGAAATACGTATGAAAACTACGAAAACCATGGTGAAATCTGAATGTCATACAGGTATTACATGAGGTCCCAATTACTAGTGTAAACTGACAGAGCCCAGTGTAATACCTGTATGACATTATACATTTTCTATTAAATAGCATGCAATCTGATATAATTTTATTATTTGTTTAGGTAGATATATGCGAATATAACATAATTAGAACACTCAAAAATCGATTTTACTGGTAAAGTCGGCCCAGAAGTATTATCAACACCTCAAGTCACTTTGATTTTTTTTTATGAAATTAAAATAATTTCATGAGGCACTTAATCAAATTGTTTTTTAATTTTTTTTATTGCTATTGACCTTATCTACATCATTTAATGTTAATTACACATTGATGTGATGCATTTTTTTATCACGAGGATTTTTTAATTTGAGTCATCCAAATGAAATGCAATAAAATTTTGAAATAATATTAAAAAAAAAATAGAGATGCAATGTTATTGCCCAAAAATGACATAAAACTTGATAAAGAATCTATCTAGCTACATTTTAACGAAAAGGTACTTAAAAAATATCAATAGTTGCATCCACTGCATAGATAAAAGTAAGTACAGGCAGAAAAAAAATAAAAATATAGCAAAAAATTTTTTGGCATCTCAATATATTTCAAAAATCGATTCAAATTCGTTGTAGATAGTCAAGAAACTTAACTAGGAATTACTTTTGTGCAATATTACGGGACATCCTGTACATTAAATAAAAAAGTCGTTGACATTGGGAACCGATGTCGTAAATATATGACATTGAGAAAATTGCCGTTTTCCAGATAAAATTTTTTATTTTATTTTTTATGATAATTATATCAATTATTAATACTATTTGGATAGTTTTCATATGAATTCACGATAAAAATAATTCCCGGGCCCCAGGAGGTTAAATTAGAGCTATTAACATCAAATCACTGCATACAAGAAGGAATTAGTCTTGGAAAGTTACAGGCACGCTATCCAGATGTATTTTCCAATAAATTAGGCGTATTTAACAAATATCAAGTAAAACTGGAATTAAAAGAAAACTCAAAACCAGTTTTTTTCAAAGCACGTCCTATAGCATTCGCCCTGAGAGACAAGGTAGACAAAGAAATTGACAAATTGGTCGATTTAGGAGTTTTGAAACCAGTAGACCACTCCGAGTATGCTTCTCCGATAGTGCCTATCTTAAAACATAACGGAAATGTGAGGTTATGCGCAGACTACTCAGTGAGTATAAACAAACAGTTAGTAGTTGATCAGTATCCTTTGCCTACAATTAAAGAATTATTTGCGAGGCTACATGGGGGTGTAAAATTCACTAAACTAGATTTATCTATGGCGTACAACCAATTTGTTTTAGATGAGGCTTCGCAAAACATTACTTGTATAAATACACATCGCGGTCTCTATAAATATACGCGACTTGTGTTTGGTCTATCCAGCGCACCAGCTATTTTTCAAAAAGCGATGGAAAACATTCTATCGGGGCTGGATGGTGTGCTATGTCTACTTGATGACGTATGTATCACGGGCTGTAATGAAATTCAACACTTGGAGCGCCTAGAAGCCGTCCTACAAAGGTTACAAGCCGCAGGATTAACTTTGCAAAAAGATAAATGTGATTTTTTTAAGGACGAGATAAGTTATCTCGGATACATAATTAATAAACAAGGTCTAAAAAAGAATCCAAACAAAGTTAAGGCCATAGTAGAAGCTCCTACACCAACCAACGTTAATCAGTTACAGTCATTCTTGGGGTTGGTAAATTATTACCGGAACTTTGTACCAAATGCATCTTCTATACTATGTCCATTGTATGACTTATTAAAAAAAAAATTAAATGGAATTGGACATCAGAGCATAACGATTCTTTTCAAACTATAAAAAACTTACTAGCTTCAGATAAAGTTCTTGCTCATTTTAACCCAAATGCAAAGTTAATCCTGACGGTTGACGCGTCCCCTAGCGGGCTTGGTGCTATATTATCGCAAGTGGACACAGACGGCCTGGAGAGGCCTATTTCTTTTGCCTCACGGACGTTGAACTCTGCAGAGAAGCGTTACTCACAAATTCAAAAGGAGGCAACTGCCATAATATTCGGAGTACGTAGGTTCCATCAATATTTATATGGAAAATCAGATCCGTTTGTNAAAATTTAAATGGAATTGGACATCAGAGCATAACGATTCTTTTCAAACTATAAAAAACTTACTAGCTTCAGATAAAGTTCTTGCTCATTTTAACCCAAATGCAAAGTTAATCCTGACGGTTGACGCGAGTTAAGCTCTAGCCGAGAGCTTTTGCGAAAAAAATATATTTATTTTTAATTAAATAAATTTGTATTTGCCCTCTTTCGCATCAGTCAGATTGTATCGATAGAGGCTGCGCTTACCGCTTACAACGGCTACGTAAATTCCTGTTTAAGATACGAAATTATGATATGGGGAAATTCTGTCAATAAAGATAGGGTATTTATTTTACAAAAGAAGTGTATCCGCGCCATATTTGGCCTTAGGCAAATAGATTCATGTAGACCTTTCTTTAGACGCTATAACTTACTTACACTGCCCAGTTTATATATTTTTGATATATGTCTATTTGTGTATCAACATAATGACCTATTCGAACAAAATTGTCAAGTCTCTAAACGTAATCTTCGCTCGATGTATAAAAATAAACTATACAAACCTCAGTCTAAATTAACACTTGTTTCTAATAATACTTTTATAATGTGCATCAAAATTTATAATAAATTGCCAGATGATTTTAAAGAGTATAAATTTACTAAGTTTAAAACTGTACTGAAAAAATGGCTTATTGATAAATGTTTCTATAGTGTACAAGAATATTTGCAATATAAATAAATTGTAATGTTATAATAATGTATAGTGTATAGTAGTGTATACGCCTGAAAAGGTAGAACTAAGAGATGCCTGTAACCTATTTATAAGAACCCTTGTAACCTTTGTTCATACACAATAAAGACTTTATTACTTTATTACTTTATTACTTAGATAAAAAAATTACAATTTTACTTAACTAACTAACCTTATTGAATACAAGTCTTCGACTGCTGTAAAACCGGGCTCGATGCTCAGGCGCAGGGCTGCTTATCGCCAACNGAGTATAAAGTGCAGTAGCTACAAATATTTTCTACGTACTTTTTGCAAATAATACTAATTTTCTATGTTTATATGCCTATTTTGCAAAAACTAAACGCATTCGTACAGAAATATATTAATTACTAATTTTTAAGAAAGGCTATGAGGACTTATTTAACAAATTCATCATAATACCTACTAGATTGGACATTTTGGGAATTGGACGTTTCGGGAACTGGACATTTCAGGAATTGGACATTTCAGGAATTGGATATTTCGGGAATTGGACATTTCGGGAATTGGACATTTCGGGAATTGGACATTTTGAACCTGAAGGGTCGCTCCCTTCCTTCGGGCCCTCAAGAGCGTCGGATTTGTCGCTGGAAAGAAAGGTTAGTGTTATGTAGTTTCCTATTAACCCCGCTTGGTGCTATATTATCGCAAGTGGACACAGACGGCCTGGAGAGGCCTATTTCTTTTGCCTCACGGACGTTGAATTCTGCAGAGAAGCGTTACTCACAAATTCAAAAGGAGGCAACTGCCATAAATATTCGGAGTACGTAGGTTCCATCAATATTTATATGGAAAATCAGATCCGTTTGTACTCAAAACTGATCACAAACCTCTCATTTCAATTTTCGGTCCTTACCGGGGCATCCCTGAAGTGACAGCTAATCGATTGCAAAGGTACGCAATGTTTCTAAGCGGCTATAATTATGTTATCGAATACATTCGTATACATTCATCATTACAGAAAAACAAAAATAGTAATAATAATAATATAATAATTCATTTATTTCAACACACAGTCATAGGTTTAAGGTTACAGTTAATAATTATAATAATAATAAAATATTTAAATTTCATTTCAATTCACATTNGAGAAGCGTTACTCACAAATTCAAAAGGAGGCAACTGCCATAATATTCGGAGTACGTAGGTTCCATCAATATTTATATGGAAAATCAGATCCGTTTGTACTCAAAACTGATCACAAACCTCTCATTTCAATTTTCGGTCCTTACCGTGGCATACCTGAAGTTACAGCTAATCGATTGCAAAGGTACGCAATGTTTCTAAGCGGCTATAATTATGTTATCGAATACATTCGTAGCGCCAACAACAGCGCAGACTACTTGTCGCGCGCGAGCTTGCCGGCGCCAGCAGCCGAGCATCCCGCACACGCAGGGGTCGATGACCCATTTTTGGAAGGCGATCGAGCTGCTTACGTAAATTTCGTAGTTGAAGGAAGCCTTCCAATTACAATTGATCAGCTGCGCAAAGAAACCGATAAAGATAAATTATTAGTAGCGGTAAGGGAATTGGTAATGAGGGGTTGGCCATCAAAAGTAAATAATCCTCAACTAAAACCATTTTATTTATGTAAAACTCAACTCTCTTATGAAAACGGCTGTTTGATGAGAGGACACAAAGTTGTGATACCTCAGTCTTTGCAAGATAGAATTTTAAAGGAGTTGCATAATTCACATTTAGGGATTGTCAAAACAAAGGCTGAAGCAAGATCACGATTCTGGTTTCCAGGTATTGACAATGCCTTGGAGAAGATGATAGGGACATGTAATATTTGTATCCAGCTGCGCCCCTCTCCCCCGCGTGCTCCTTGTTCACCTTGGAAGTATCCCTCCCAACCGTTCCAAAGGGTACACCTGGATTTTCTTGGGCCCATATATGGAAATACTTACTTAGTGGCTGTGGATGCTTATTCCAAATGGGTAGAGGTTTATAATATGAACAACTTGTGCACTACAGGGGCAGTTATTGAAAAATTTATGGATTTCATGTCAAGATTCGGACAACCTCAAACATTGGTCAGTGACAATGGCACAGCGTTCACATCCTACGAATTCCAGCGGTTTTGTCAATTAAACGGTATAGTTCACATGACATCAGCAGCTTTTCACCCAGCCAGTAACGGCCAGGCAGAATCTAGTGTAAAAATTGTCAAAAAGGGTATTAAGTCATGTATGAATTCATGTAATAACATAAACACAGCAAAAAAAATGTTACTAAAATATTTGTTTGATTATAGGAATTCGGTACATTCCACCACTGGGTTTTCACCTGCCGAGTTAGTGTTTGGTCGAAGGTTAAGGTCTCGTTTGGATTTAATAAATCCCAGGGTTTCTTCGTCATCGAAGCCTTCTCCCTCACCTTCATCACTGGCTAAAACTGTGGAAAATAAACAGTTTTCACAGAGTAAAAGTTATGGTACTAATACCCAAACATTTGAAGTTGGAACCAATGTTTTATATAAAAAATTTGTTAAAAATAACAAATTCATGTGGTGTAAGGGTATAGTTATTAAGCGNCAAATAGTAAGATTTTTTCGGATTTTCCAAAAATAAAATTAATATGCCAAAATAACTCATTCCATGTCTTTTCTGAAGACTTGAAGATCCTAAATCTCTGAAACGATCGTTTAAACCATCTTGGCTACATGGTTTTGAAATTTTCGGGTCACCATCAAAGTCTCTACCACAGTGCCAGTTTTCACCTCAAAATCCTCCTGTGAAGTATCAGTATGAGGTTCAAGTGACTTCTTAGGGTTGAAAAGACATCTAAATGCCAAACGTATGCAAGGAATTACCATTTAGTTCAATTTTTTTTGGTTAATATCATTTCTGTTCAAAAATAAAAATAACAGTCGTCGCGATGGTGCGTGCTCACTTGGCTGTCTTTGGAGGTACCTTTACCCACTTTTGCACATTCTAAAATTCATCTCTGTTTACATCACTCACGAACTTTTTCATTTCACAATAAATTTTTCTTTCTAACCTCTTTCTTGCAATATCTGTCAAAGTGTCAATTATGACATTCTTAGCTTCGTTCGGAAATCTACATATATTTATTTTATAATGTTTCTTTTTTTTTTTTTCTTTTTTACTCTAGGTTTCTGGAACAGCAGAGTAAAAACTTTGATGACCTATTGCGTTTCGTTTCACACGATCCCATAATGCTTTTTATTAATTTTTAAAAACTTTTCTTGATATTTTTTTCCGTTTGTTCTGTTTTTATTTTTCCATACACGGTGTTTACTCATTTACATTAATTTTATTATGTGTGGGTCTGGTACCTCCAAGCTTAAAAATAGATGTGTTCTTTAAATTAATTTTGTAAGCCGGCAGGCCAAAGTGCTGTGTTTAAATATTTTGATTGTTTAGTTAGTGCCATATAATATTATATTTATCTTATTTTTATGTATTGTATTTATATATGGATGACGAATCATTTTACTCTGCTCATGATTCTCTTTCAACTGAAGATGAATCTTTTCATGACATTCTTACCCTCAAAGATACTCTATCCCATAAGTTCTCTAACACTAAGCGATTTCTCAATGTTTGCCACATAAACGCACAAAGTATTCCTTCCCACTACTCTGATCTTCTCGACTCTTTTTCCATCACTAATCTTCATGCTGTCCTCGTTTCTGAGAGCTGGCTCAAACCTTGCCTCGATTCCGCGGCCTACGCTCTTCCAGGTTTCATTCTTATAAGGAATGACCGCACTGGTAAAGGTGGTGGCGGTGTTGCTATCTACCTTCGTAGTGACATCCCATATAAGGTGCTGTGTATGTCACCGTCTCCCTATAGTGCGACGGGCGAGTTTATTTTCATCGAAGTAAACGTGAAGGGCGTCAAGGCTGTCCTTGGGGTGGTGTACTGCCCCCCTGGGGTGGACTACCTCCCCATTCCAGCGGTTTTGTCAATTAAACGGTATAGTTCACATGACATCAGCAGCTTTTCACCCAGCCAGTAACGGCCAGGCAGAATCTAGTGTAAAAATTGTCAAAAAGGGTATTAAGTCATGTATGAATTCATGTAATAACATAAACACAGCAAAAAAAATGTTACTAAAATATTTGTTTGATTATAGGAATTCGGTACATTCCACCACTGGGTTTTCACCTGCCGAGTTAGTGTTTGGTCGA